AGGACATCAATATAAGTGTTCATTCTGTATAGAGTATAGATAGATAACTCAAAATATGCAACTCTTTCTTTTAAGGGACTGACTTTTTAAGGGACTGACTTGTGTGGGTGATTTTTCGACCACACTGCCAAACAGGTACCCAGCTGGAGAGCACCGGTAAAATAGATTAAGCCCGAACGACCTGCAACAGAAAGAAGAGTTTCCGGCGGTGGCTCGTCCACCTGGGGGCACTCTGACGATCAAGTCAGTACTCAATATCTCTCAAAGATAACTAATAGTGCTTAACTCACTAGACAGAATATCAAAAGCATACCTTAGACCCATGGGGGTGCCTCCTTTTTATAGCCAACACAATCCTAGTCCCAATAGGAGCCTAGCCCTAATGGACTTAGGATTACTGCTAATCTTGGACTCCTAATAGGATTAGGATAAACTCTCTAAGAGTCTCATCTTTACCCAAACTGAAGTCTTCTCTCATTGTAGGACTCTTGTCCCTTATCCGCTTAACTCGGATTTCGGTATTCTCGCAGATAACCTCGGCCTAGCCGAGATTACCTCGGCGTCATGACCAGGACACGTGACACCTCGGCTGGTACTTCGGTGTCACCTCGACCACGTGCTGTCATCCAAAAATTATGTCCCCACAACTACCTCCTAAGTTTTATTACCTCGGCATCCTGAGGTGATGGAACTTATATCATTCCTTCCTTTAATCATGTCCTCGGTTTAACTTCAACTTGTAAACTTTTCTCAAGTTTCAACAAGTGTTAAACATCATCTCGGTTTAACTTCAACTTGTAAACTTTTCTCAAGTTTCAACAAGTGTTAAATATCATCTCAGTAAACTCTTCTCTTCTCAGACTTAATCGTCTTAGGCCAAGATCTTATCTTTTGGGATCTGGGATTTGAGATCTGGAATCCGGGATCGGCTTACTTGGGCTGAGCTCTTGTCTTCTCATATCCAGTGTTATCTCGGCTTGACAGGTGAGGTTACCTCGGCATCTTGTCGCTTTCTTTGGAGGTAATCCCTCAGATCCTCCTTGGTTCGTCCAAGAGCTCGGCTATCTCCCGATTTCAGCCTCTTTGGTGCATTACTTCATGTGTCATTGCGAGTCCTTTTAGACCTCCCTCCATTGGTCGCGTTGAAATAGAGGTCCTTCCCCTGAACATGCCGATGTTCTTTGGAGTCAGCTTCCTTGGTGCGATGTGTCCTTTGTGAATCTCCTCTTCTTGATTCTCCTCGTCCGACCTCCCTTAAAGGCCGGTGAGAATGTTCGTTGGTCCTATCATGTTGAGGAGTCGTAGGAGTTGTCTTCTGCCCCCTGCTTGGGCATCTTTCTTGGCTGCTGGAATCGGCATATCTTGTGACGGGAACGGTGGCTGCATGACATTGTTCTATATCATGAAATTGACAACCGTTTGCAGGTTCGCCAATTTGTTCGCCATCCCTTTCATCTCGTCGTCCCTTCGTAAGCATCTTTCTTTCCATACTTGGAGGCCGTCCTCGTTATAATACTTGCTTCGGTCTGATTTCTTCGGTATGTCGCCCTCCTGGCCGATGTCCTCTTCTCTGTGATTCTTATCACGAGTTTCTTCGTTTTAGTTGTCTTTTTCGACGTCAAGGTCAATATGTTTTCCACTCTCAGTAGGGGTGTCGTCCCCAACTTTCTCTTTCGATTTGTCGTTGGCCATCTATTCTCCTTTTTTTTTTTTAATTTTTAATCGAGGTTTCAGGATATCAATATGAGTGTTCATTCTGTATAGAGTATAGATAGATAACTCAAAATATGCAACTCTTTCTTTTAAGGGACTGACTTATAAAAGGCTTGTCTATGGAGTTCTTTTGTTTAATCTTTCCACCTTTTTTTTTTGGTATTTGTTGTCCAATTTACTATTAAAAAATGAGATTAGGAATTTGATTGTGTTTACTTTTAAAAAATGAAAAGAAAAAAAATCATTAGGCTAATCGTTAAGTCGGTTAATTCTATGACACACACCTGTAAATGTGTGTACCATGTTCTTGGTATTACCTCAAAGTGGTTTTAGTACTTACGAATCAAAATGGTGTTAATTAATGACTTGAAATGAAGTTCAAATCAAAATTTGATTAATTAAAATTGGGTTTGTCATGATTACGAAACTAGGTGATGTTTGTCATACTCTAAAGTAATGGTTTTGAATTTTGATTATGATCTAAAGTAATTTTGGTTCTGTAATACGGGTGTTAGTAATGAATAAAATTGACTATGCTCAAAACTTTTTTTATTTTACGTTTTTAGTAAATGCAACCTCTTAAATGAGGGTTGCATGTAGAAAGAAGGTATATGTCCCTACTAAACAATAGAATTCTTACCAATCACATATCTAGTTTAGGGTTCACATATATGGATAGAAGGCCTACACCTATAATTATTGTTGATAAAATTTTTGAGAAATTTAGTAGCAATATATAGCAAACCTATAGCATATTATAATATGCACTATATTGGATATGCATTAGTCTTTTCTAGCTAAGTCCTCAATGTCTCCATCAAAAAAGAAAAAATCTTAGTTAATATTTCAACCAACCAAGCTATAAATGTTAGCAACCCTCAAGAGGAAATTTATGTGGTGCTCAAATTTAACAATTATTATTTTAGATATTAGGGTTCATAATTTTTATTTTTATTAATATTATGAACAGTAGATAGACAAAAAGTCAAATTATAACGTTACTCTTTTGTCCATCTACCGCTAATGATGTTAACAAAAATTAAAAGTAAAAGGCCAACGTGAAAGTGTAAAAACTAAAGTGAGATTTTGATAAAAGTATAAGGATTGCTAATGAGAGGAGAAAAATTGTCACATTTAGCTCACATGATATCTTTTGTCAACCTTGTTAATGTTAGATGAACGGAATGATAACATTACAAACTTAATTCGAAGCATAGGGATTGATTGTCATAATAAAAAATATATAAAATAAAATAAAATTATAGTAAAAATATAAGAGTACTAAATATAATTAATCTTAAAAAAATAATACGAGATTTTTTAATTAATAAATGATATGAAATTTTGCTGCAAAGAATAATAAATAATTTTCCATGAAGATAGAGCAAAGCCTAATAAGGATTGGCTATACACTGTTGACCAAAATTCTACACAAAATGATAAATTTGAAAGACCTGAGAGAGGATCTTGGGAGACAAAAGCAACTCCTAAGTCATATGAAAAACAAACAATGCTTTTGACAAAGTAAATTTAGTACCCAACTTAAATCTTCTAGAAGTCACCAAAACCGGAAGGATCCAAATAACAACTGACCATGTCCTCCTTTATTGGTATGTATGCTCTTGAGTCTTGACATGATGTACTGTTCAAATGTGCCTTCACTTTCAAGAGAAATTATTTTTCTAGCTATTGTCTAACTCCTTTGAACAACATTGGCCCATGTTTTGAAAATGTGGAATCCATCACACCCTTCTATGTAGTCGGTGATATCGGCTCATCTTTTGAAAATGTGGAATCCATCATACACTTCTTTGTAACTTTGGGTTATTTACAATTTTAATTTATGTAATTTGACACATGTTTTACTTTAATCACTATTTTAAATTGAACAATTTAATTTTTACATTTTAAATCTAATTTTAATTTAGTTCTTTCGTTAAAATCAAACCTTAAAATTAACGATTTTGAAATACTTGTATCCTAAGGGTTTTTTTTTTTTTTAATTGATCGGCGAAAGTCAATTGTTAGTAATTAGATTAGCATCTATAAGAATTAGCCACCCTTAGGACTAAACCTTTAAGAGAATCATGGTGGCCAATTAGGTTAGCCTTAGTATCCCAAGGTGTTCACGTAAAAAAAATAATGAAAATTTGAACAGAATGATTAATTTGAAACTAGACTTAAAACAAAATGATCAAATTGTTTAAATTAAAATTATAAGAATCTAAGTAAAATTTCAGTCAAACTATCAGGTAAAATTAATTAACATTTAATTTTAAAAGGGGGATTTTTACAAGGGATTTTTTTATTGAAATATTAATTTAAATAATATCTATGAATTTTTACATTTTTGTTGGGTCAAATTTTTTTTATAGGCCTTTTGATGTGACGAAGATTTTTTCCCCCTTTCAGAAGAGGTTTTTTTTATTTGCATTAGACAATGAAATTTTTTTATTTATTTTTTAAAATTTTGGTGGCCTTTTGACAAAGATTAAATAGGATAAAAATGAAGAGTTTTTGAAAAAATGAAACCTTACGCAAACGTCTGACTAACCTAATAGAAGATTCAACCCTCTTGATTACTTCTTGTGACATATAACATTATTTAAAATTTTTTGATATTTTATTTATTTTTTGACATGGCTAAAAACACATGTTATAGATAAGATAAGATTGATTGTTTTAATCTCTCTATCTTATACATGGATCAAAGAAATAGAGGATCACACGCCGTTTAAACATGAATACACGCATAAATAATCACTTGAATTTATCGTTGGTAGATTCAAGGAAAGAAGAGAGTTAAAATTGCAGCATAGGCCACCAATTCTCTTCATTGAAAAATACTACTCAAGCTAATAAATCTTTTATATTTTTTACTAATTGATATTTACTCAATTAAAAAAAATTAAAATTTAAAATATGACATACTTCAATAATACAAGTATAACAGAGTAAAAAAATATTATATCTTTTGTTAGTTTTTATACTATTATTCTAAATTATTTTATGCACATAAAACAATAATCTAACAATCATAAGAGTCACATGATCACATGATTTTAGCTGCAACATTATCCCCAACAACTTGAATGGCTTGGGATCTATTTCCTCACATATGTCTCCTCAAGCCATTGGAATAAGGGTCAACATGGTAAATTGTGCATGCTCAAAAATTTCTCTAAGCATTCAAATCCCAAATAAATAAATAAATAAACAAATAAATCTAGGAATATGACATCACTCCACATTTGGACATGACCCCTTCCTTCACACCCAAATAGACAAGTTCAAACATCCATAACTACACGAAACAAGCGCAAACCCTAAAATATCAACATACAACCAAGTATCCAATATATATATATCTCTACTCATGAAAACATATTAATTATGTTTTTTCTGCTTTGCATTATACTATCTCTATATTTCTTGTCATCTCATACATTTTCTTCGCTTTCATTACAAAAATAATTCATATCCATCACTATTATTGCCTCAATCTTCTATCATCTTGTTCGAACACATAAATTGATTATCAGAATATTTTCCACCAAATTTATTTCCGTAGTGAAAATCAAATTTATTTCCTTTTAATCCATCATTTGATCATGAACTCATCGCCGGACTTCTCGGCTGGAAAGTCGCCGAAGCGGGAGATCCAAGGTCCCCGGCCAGCTGCCCTAAAAGTAAATAAAGACTCTCACAAGATCAGAAAACCTCCGATGGCGCCACCTCAGCAGCCACCTCATCAATACCGCCCACCGGTCATTATATACCAAGTCTCTCCAAAGGTGATTCACACAAACCCTAGTGAGTTCATGACACTTGTTCAACGCCTCACTGGCTCGTCTTCTTCGTCATCGTCTTCTTCCTCCTCTTCTTTTCCAATTAACACCGGTGGAGTATCGCCAGCTGCTCGTTTGGCTTCCATAGAAAAGACAAAATGGTCTGAGAAGAAGAAACCACAAAGTGATGATATGAGTATGAGTGGTGTTGTTGAAGGTGTAGAGATAAGTACAGAACTTGAGAGGAGTAGTTTGTTACCGGGTATTTTATCGCCTGGACCGGCTGCTCTTCCACCTATACCGCCAAACTTTTTCTCTCCGCTGTCCGATTCAAATCATATGAGTTTCTTTCATGATTTGAGCCCTCAGTTACAAGGTTACAGGAATTATGTAGAGGGTGGTTTCATGCCTAGTCCTTCAAATTTTCTTTCATCCATTATGGCATCCCCTACTCCATCTCCTGACCTTTTCAACAATTTCTTTGATCACTTTTGACCCATTTTAGAGAGAACCAGAGAGATGTATCTGGTTTTGATTTTGTTTATCTTCAATGGTGATGAGGATGATACTGACGGGGGAGTAATTGGGAATTTGAGTTTTGTTTTAGTGGACAAGCAAGCTGGAGGCTTTGATTGAGTTTTTTTTTTTCCTTCTATTTTTTATTAAATTGATGGGCCACATGATGAGGCAGTTTGGCTCACATTTCTTTGACATTTTTTTTGATAAAGTAATATTTGGATGATGAAATTTTTATAGTAAATTTATTTATAAAATAACGTTACACATTACATGTTATTCATGCATTGGTACAACAACCATGTACCAAACAAAGTACATCATCAGTTGTTTTGTTGTTTGAACTGTTGGCCTCTGCTCTCCTTCTGCTGTTTTGCTTAGATTTTGGTGTGAGCTTGCTGCAATTCGGTTGCCATTCAGTTGTTCTGCTGTTTTGCTCAGATGTTGGTGTTGTTTTGTTTCAACCTGAGGTGTTTTGTTGGTCTGCTTTACATTGTGTGGCTCTGCTGTTTTTTTTATCTTTGTTTTGCATTGTTTGTTGGTTTCTCACCAACTAGGAGGTTGGAACTTCTTCTACCTCTAAGTTCCTCTTTATTGATGTAATTCGGTTGTTTTTCAACAATAAAGTTTTCTTTGCTGATAAAAAAAAAAAGATATATAATTAAATTTATTTATTTTCTCCCTCAAAGTATTTACAACTTTTAGATCATTAAAATTTTTGAAAGTCGATAATCTCAAGAAACAATCCGATGGATGTATGTGGACATTAGACAAAAGAATTTAGGAAGAAACGATCCCATATCGTTTGCAATACACACCCTTTCTTTGTTTACCAATTTTTGTTATATACTTGTGGCATGTAGTATGCAACATAACCCTATTTTCAATATCCAATTCTTATTGGTTGCTTTTTCTTTTGTTTCATATGTTTTTTTTAGCACAAATGTTTTGTTCTTCTTCTTTCAGTATTTGGAAATGGAATTTAATTGGCCCTAATGTCATGTATTTTATTTGATATGTAAGGGATGCTTGCCATATAGATATAGAATATATATATATATATAAGCAACACGTAATAATTAATTTGAAGTTGGTAGTAGGTATTTTCATTTATATCCTTTTCGAACTACCTTTCAACTTTAAAATTATTACTCCACAATTGGGGATGTGATCTAGACTACCTCATTTTTTCCATTATAATGATAATGATGTGAAGAGGAAAGTAATATTGTTCAGTAATTTCACAAACACAAAAGTAATCATAAAATCAAATGTTATTTTTTTTCAGAATTTTTATATAGAATTATTCACAAAAACGATGTGCCAATGAAAATTTTGATATTGCAAGATAGTTTGATGAATTATTATTTTTTAAAGTAATAAGTTTGTAAGTTTGCTGATGTTGATTATGCCTTACCTCTATATTTAGTTGCCATGTACTTTTGCTAAAAATTGGTCACCGTAGTCGGCATATATCTTTGGCAACTAAATTTTTGCTTTTAACGTCAAAAGTATTGTATGTGTTTTTTATGTATGTTTTTTATTTACATATCATTACTCGTATAGAAAAAATACAGGTGAGCAATGTGAATGAAGCAGTGCATAAGGCTATCATTATTTTGTGTGGTTTTGAGTGAACAATCAAAGTAATAATTACTTACCTCTACTCCTATGCTTCGAAAAGAAAGTGCATAAAATGCTTCGAAATGGAAATGCTTCGAAATATAAATCTATGTTAAGTTACTCCTAAGATAAGAAAAATGACAAGAAATATTGAAATCAATTGTCTTTGATCTATGTTCTGCATCCTTTACAAGGTAGCCATTAATGGCTATTTATAGAAGAAAAAATACAGCAATAACTACTTAGTAACTACCCATTTCTTCCATCTTCATTCTTGTCTTGCCATGTGTCCTTCCACTCATCCACTTTGTCTTCCCACTCATCCACTTTGTCTTCCCACTCATCCACTTTGTCCTTCATATTCTCCATTATCTCTATAACTTCTTTTAACTTCCAAATGAATAAGAAGATGCCACGTGTCCTGCAATTATATAAATAATAAATAATAATAAAAATTTCAGATTTATGGTGCTAACATTACCCCCCGCGGCCCTTAAAAATGATGTTTATTTGAATTTTTGAAGGGCCGAACCAAGCACATGACTAATCTAAGCAGCAAAGTGCTTCGAATGATGTAACAACACCAATAAAGTGCTTCGAATGAGTATGAAATTATGACTAGATGACTCGAATTATTACTAGTAACAAGCTTCGAAAGTGATATAAAGGACCAAAATCATTCTTCGAAGGTCGATGGAACCGACAAAAGACGAATTACATCCTCAAAAATACTCGACAAAGCTTCGAAGGTTCACAACCACCATTATTATTTCTTCGAAGCTGTTGTTGATGCAAGATAGAGTGCTTCGAAGCTTACAAAATTATGGCAAAACGGCTTTCGAAGCAACTTATGGCAAAACGGCTTTCGAAGTTGTTTTTTTCCAACATTGTGGTTATTCAAAACTTATATGTTCTGGTTCACACATAATTAATGAAATATTAATTTTGTGCTTCGAACCAATTATTAATTCTTCGAAAACACCAAAACTGTTGTTCTTCGAGCCAACTTATGATGCCAAAAACAAGCATTATTCGACAACTAATTAATTGTCATTTTACATATATTTGAAGAGATGTACACATTTCGAAAGTTTTCAAAGTTTTATACAGTTTCGAAGGTGAAGTAATCAACCTTCGAAACAACTCTTAATGTTTCGAATGTATCTTCAAAGCTTTATACAGCTTCGAATGTGAAGTAATCAACCTTCCAAACAACTCTTGATGCTTCGAATGTATCTTCGATGCTTTGATTGTGTACATACAAACAATTGGCCATCAATTTGAAAAGATAAGCCATTCTCAGCCATTTATTTAAATGCACAGGCTTTTCCTAGCCAAGCTCATGCATTTTAAATGGTCATCCCTTGTTCTTAGTACTTCGAACTCATAAGAACAATTTGTTAATTTTATTAGCCACATCATCATAATTATATTTTGATGTGAACCACAAATCCAAAAAGGATTTTGAACACCAAAAGTCATGGTATAGTGCAAAACGGAACATCACGGTGGCCTTCCGCATCAGCTCCTTATTTTCCGCCTTTAGCACACTTATCTCTGCTCGCGCATCCTTATACATGCATTGGAGCAGAGCCAGCTGGGAGTTTAACTGCAGAGCTGGGTTTGGTGTTGCTGCCATGGTGGTTTACCGTGTGTGAGAAGATGAAGTTGGTGGTGTGTGTGTGTATGAATGTGTAATAGAAGCCGCTGCTGTGTGTGTCAATAGATCAGTGTGTGTGTTCAGCTGTGCCGTGTGTGTGTTCAGCTCCAACCCAAAACTGCCGAGAGAGTCAGAGAGCCCGAGAGCAGATGCATGTGTGTATGTGTGTGATCTCTTCATCTCCGAACCAGTTCATGCCAGAGAGAGAGAGACCAGGTGCAGAGAGAGAGAGAGATATCATGCATCTCTTGTGTATATGAGCTGGTCTGTGGTCTGTGTGAATCGTGTGCATGTGTGTGCCTGGTGAATCGACTGTGTGTGTGTGTGGTGTGTAGCAGTGTGTCGTGTGTATGGGAGAGAGAGAGGTGGCCGTGTGTGTGTAGTAGTGTGTGTGCATGGGATCGGAGAGAGAGAGAGATCACAGTGGGTGTGTGTGCTGTGTTGATTATTGAGTGTATGGGCTGTGTGTGTGTGTTTACTGGGTTTGTGTTGTTTGTGTTGTATGTGTCGTGTTTGGGAGAGAGAGTGACAATGTGTGCTAGAACTCCAACCCTCTGCCGAGAGAGAGAGCTAGAGAGATAAATCATTAGGAATTTCAAACCCACCCCCATTCACACAGATCCAGTCAAAAAGAAATGAGAGAGAGACCCTCTGAGAGAGAGAGAGCTCGAAGGAATGCGAAATGGTGAAGTTTCTGAAACCAAACAAGGCCGTAATCCTCTTCCAAGGCCGCGACGCGCCGGAAAGTCGTGATCATCAGATCCTTCGACGATGGCCTCTCAATCGGATCTGGAACGGCAAATCGAGCACTTGATGGAGTGCAAGCCACTGCCGGAGGCGGAGGTGAAGAAGCTCTGTGATCAAGCTCGAGCGATCCTGGCGGAGGAATGGAACGTTCAGCCGGTGAAGTGTCCGGTAACTGTGTGCGGCGATAAAATTGATGTAGATCGAGGATACTACTTCCGAGTATCAATCTGTGAACGTTCAGCCGGAGGAAGATTCGCCGGAATATTCGTCTAGGGTTCGAACATAGTCGTCGGGAAATTGAAGGAGGAGCTGGAGGGGCTGTTGTTTCACTTCTAGCCAACTTTTCCTTATCTTCCTTTGACATTCCTATGAGAAACCCACGCTGTGCTAAAGCATCCATTTCATTAAAGCCTTCCAGCATTTCCACCTGCTGCTGATAATACCCAGCCACATTATCTTCTGGACGTAAAACGCCGAGACATGAGTGATGGAGGCCACGAGGAGGCGGCTTTTCTTTGAGTGGTGTGTGTTCTTTGGTCTCTAGAGAGAGAGATGTGTCAGTCATGGTGTGGTCTCTAGAGAGAGAGAGAGAGAGATGGCTGTCATGGTATGGTCTCTAGAGAGAGAGAGATGGCTGTCATGGTCTGAGAGAGCCGAGAGGTAAGAGAGAGGAAGATGAAGTTACAGTCTGGGTATGTGTAGAGGTCCGGCAGACTAGGTTGAGGTCCGGCGGACGGCTAAGGTGAGGTTGCCGCCCGCCGGTGAAGCGAAAAATACTAAGTGCTAAACCTGCTCTGATACTAAGTTAAATTTGATGTATAGAGAAATAGAGAGAATGAATTATGTATTATTGATTGATGTGTATTGATTATGTTTACAATGATCATATATATAGAAGAAAATGTGGTAGTAGGTGTAGGTGGTAGGTGGAGTGAAGTGGAGGTGGTAGGTGGAGTGGGTGGTAGTGGAGGTGGTAGGTGGAGTGATGATTTATTATTTACAATTTACATTAACAGAAACGATCCCATATCGTTTGTAATACACACCCTTTCTTTGTTTACCAATTTTTGTTATATACTTGTGGCATGTAGTATGCAACATAACCCTATTTTCAATATCCAATTCTTATTGGTTGCTTTTTCTTTTGTTTCATATGTTTTTTTTAGCACAAATGTTTTGTTCTTCTTCTTTCAGTATTTGGAAATGGAATTTAATTGGTCCTAATGTCATGTATTTTATTTGATATGTAAGGGATGCTTGCCATATAGATATAGAATATATATATATATATATAAGCAACACGTAATAATTAATTTGAAGTTGGTAGTAGGTATTTTCATTTATATCCTTTTCGAACTACCTTTCAACTTTAAAATTATTACTCCACAATTGGGGATGTGATCTAGACTACCTCATTTTTTCCATTATAATGATAATGATGTGAAGAGGAAAGTAATATTG